ATATATATATATACATATATATTTATTTATTTATTTTTTCAATGCATTTTCATTCATTCTCAAGTAATTTGTAAAAGTATGAAGGTTTTAAATTTTATTGTACAGATGTTGAAAAGGTGGATTTCCATTTCTGTACCAGGTACCAATCCTTATTTATCCTCATAGCTATGCATTTAAAAGATGCTGCTTGTGTATAATATACACACACAACCCCTCAAAAGTTCGTAAAAAATTTGGTAAGATGTTTTTGAAAGAAATCTCTTATACTCTTCAAGGCTGCTTTTATTTGATCAAAATACTGCAAAAACAGTAAAATTCTGAAACATTATGACAATTTAAAATGCATGCTAATACAATTTCTTAAAATGTAATTTTCATGTGATGGCAAAGCTGAATTTTCAGCATCATTACTCCAGTCTTCAGTGCCACATGATCCTTCAGAAATCATTCTAATATGCTGATTTGGAAACATTTCCTATTTTGAACAGTTAATCTTATAATGCTTAATATTTTTGTAACATTATAAATTTTGATCCAATTTAATGCATCTGTGCTGAATTAATTAAAACATTTTTTTAAATATATATTAAAAAAAAGTTTTTTATATATATATATATATATAAATATATATATATATATATATAAATAAAAAAATATATATATATAGACCCCAAATTCTTGAATGATAGTGTATTCTGAACAGCTATTGAGGGTCACAATCCACTCTGACTATCTCACTTGAGGATCTCTGTCCATCTAACAATGATCTACCATCATTCAAAATGACATTCAGAACTTCATTAACTCTGATGCACGTTTGTACACAGACAGCACAACTAAAAAGGTTCCATTAATTAAGAATACTTTCACTCAGTGCCATGTAGTCACTCACTTGTCATCCCTCTCCAGGCATTTGACTAAGATTGGAAGGATTCCACATTTTATCAAGTCGTCTATGGGGGGATTTCTGTCACTTGAGAGCAATTTTCTGTAAGGACGGAAAAGAGAAAAACAGTCATCTTTCGGCACTCCAAATACATGCCAGCAGTGTTAACGCAATTAATTTCTAAGAGACCAATCCAGCCAAAGATATTTAATTACAAGCATAATTAACATAGTATGCCATTTTTCTGTTTTGTGTTAGGCTTTTCACTTTCAGCTGATCAACAATGTGTATTAAGAAAGCAAAAAGTGTCCATTTAGATATGTTGACTTGAGGCTATGAGTGATGTTTTTAGAAGGCATTGTGTAACAAATGCAAATCTTTTCATGTATGTTTCACAACACTTTACCTGGCTGCTTGCACTGCACTGAGCTGCACCACAGCATTGTCACTGGTGGCGTTCTGTAGTGAAAAAGATGAGAAATGGAGAATGAGAGGAAGAAGGCCTGCTCACACCCACACATACTTTGTGAAGTGTAGTGCTGATGTGTGCTGACCCTCTGAATCGGTTATTTATCAGAGTCAATGCCTCTCTTACCACCAACATTTAATAACAACACACATCAGAATCTTACCTGTAAGATGGCATCTAGCGTTACATTTTGCTGAGGAGAAAATGGAGGGGGAAAAAAAACGTTTAGACAAACTCTATAAAGGAAAATGGAAGATATGGAGTCGGATGAAATGAGAAGAAAGCCTCTTACTCCTTTGAAATCAGAGTCCGCATCGGAGTCTTCCAGACTCTCTTCCTGTGGAACATTTCGTTTCTTCAGGAGATGCTCGTCTCTTTTGTTCTGTACGGATTGAGAAATCAGATAAATACCAGGTCCTCTGTGATACCTTGAACTTAATAAAATGCATCATAAGATCATACAGACCTAAACAAATACAAACTCTGATTTTAGACTCAATGCATTTGAGGAAGTAAGAGAACATACCATCTTATTAATGTCATGTATATTTAACAAAGCTGTATTTATTTTTAATGCACAATCGTTTCGAAGAGGTTATATCACACATTTTCCCTCTAAGAAGCTTAAAATCAAACAGACTGTTTTTTTAAGCTGTGCCTTTAAGATATCAAACTTTTTCAGTACAGTGGTTCAATGTGGATCAGAATGAAGAGACTTAAAGATTATATTTAACCTTGTTAAATATAAACATTAGCTGCTCGTTTTTAACACTGGGATCCTTTAGAAGGATCTGCAGAGTGGAAGGTGCTACACACAGCCAGACACCATTTTTTGCGCCACATTTTGATAGTTGTTCTAGTGTTTAGCAAGTTCGGCCAATTCAGAGCAACAGATAAGTAGACAAATTGATGTGTACAGTTGTGCACCAATATCTACGTTTTTGGTTGGATTTTCACGTCTAACAATTTCAGAACAAGTCCCTTTTGCAGCTTAGTCTGAAAAAATTGTCTTTTTTCCACTGAGGGTTAAATATTTCAATCTTCTTTCTCATGATACAGCCCCTTAATGAATATTTTGCTGCTGATGTCAAATAGATAGAATTCAACAGCACAATAACTGAACCCTTGAAAATGGCAACTGACAAAATGGAACACAAAGTAACTACTGGTTCTACACAGTGTGAGAAAATAATGTGAGAGTGAGCGTTCTGTGACTCTAATGTTGGAGCAAACAGGAATGCAAAGAGGAATGTCTCACACACAAACACAAACAAACACACACAGAGCATAACAGCCGCATTCTGTCCGATTCCTCTGGGCTGACAGTGTAACTGCCTAATATGGACAGGACTTGCTGTGTGACCCAGTCCAGCACCAAATTAATCAACAACATCAAGGCTGTAGGACTAAACTTCTGCTCCACATCAGCTCTGGCCCAGCAGATCAACAACAGGGGACTTCTACTCACTCAGACTGTGACACAAAGCATGCTGATATCCATTTGTCCTATTGGACTTTGTCCAGCAGCTTTGCTTCTGGTGATGACATGCTACTTTCTCAAGTAGGGATCTGTTACAGTTAGGGATGTAACAATTACCGGTTTTACAATAAATCACGATAAAATGCCCTGACGGTTAGTATTACCGTTTAAAATGTAATTATCAAAACCGTGTTTGATTATCGCGATTTTGAAAACTCGCGGTAAATCCTGTCCAGCCAGCATCAGTCTGACGCAAAAGCAGCATGCAGTGTTGTTGTTTTTTGCACGAGACGAAATGGCGGAAGGCAGTGACAGCGCTCGGGAGATTTTTCAGCCATCTAAGAGGACCAAATCGGTGGTCTGGTCGTATTTTGGCTTTTACAAGAGTCCTGAAGGCAATTTAATCGAGGACGGTCACCCTGTCTGCCGATCTTGCAAGAAGAAAGTCGTTGCAAAAGGGGAAACGCATCAAATTTGCTCAGCCATCTTCGTGACCACCACACACTGTTACATAGCGAATGCAAGGTAACATTTACCTCAATACCAAAACTAACTGGGCAAATAATTGGACAAAAAATATTGATTAGAGATTAAATATTTCGTTATCTCACTTGTTTAACGCAAAGCTTCTGCGAAGAAAAGTTCGCAGCAAGTGGCTTTGAGCCAAGATGAACGAACGTTCAAACTATAAGGTTGACATTTAAGGGATAATGTATTGTATATTCATAGTTAACTTATTACACAGAGTTTTATTTGTTTACCTAAAATAATATATAAATACGGGGATATGAAATATTGAATTGAGATTAATGTTTTGAAATCTTATAAATCCATTATGAACGGTGTACAAAACAATCGTCAGGACAATATGATCACTACAGCAAAATTATAGTAGTATTAATACTAAATTCCTCTGATTTAATTTTCAATACAATCAAAAACTGAGGCGCAAGACGGTAAGCTGCATTTGAATGAAATGAGAGAGCACGTCCGTACGTCTGCGGTGATACAAGCGACATGGGGCGAATTCCAAACAGAAGTGAGCATCCCTATGCCCTGCTCCCTTCGAAGGGCAGAGCCCTTGAAGTGTGTTCTTTGAAGGGTGCAGGGTATTACTGTCTCGTATAAGCGTTTGGAACTCCCTTGGCGAAGGGAATGACTGACCAAATGTTAACTTGACAATGCTGCACGTGCGTGCAGCATTCAGTACTCCATCAGTTGTTGCAAATAAATATTTATTATTATTATTATTTTATTCAAATATTGTCTAATTGTGTCTTATTTACTATTAAACGTTTTCAAACTAAACTTGCTTACACTACCGTCTTAAATCATATTTCTATCACTGACGAAAAATATGTTGTCTTACATTAAAATTGAAAAATTTTATGTTTGTATGTGAACTCGAAATCAACCCCAACTTTGCTTCCCATCACAAGATCTCCTAACTGAAGATCACATGATCACTAATGGAAATCACATTGTGTGTGTGTATATATATACACACATATACAAACCTGATTCCAAAAAAGTTGGGACACTACAAATTGTGAATAAAAACAGAATGCAATGATGTGGAAGTTTCAAATTTCAATATTTTATTCAGAATACAACATAGACGACATATCAAATGTTTAAACTGAGAAAATTTATAATTTTAAGGGAAAAATAAGTTGACTTTAAATTTCATGGCATCAACACATCTCAAAAAAGTTGGGACAAGGCTATGTTTACCACTGTGTGGCATCCCCTCTTCTTTTTATAACAGTCTGCAAATGTCTGGGGACTGAGGAGACAAGTTGCTCAAGTTTAGGAATAGGAATGTTGTCCCATTCTTGTCTAATACAGGCTTCTAGTTGCTCAACTGTCTTAGGTCTTCTTTGTCGCATCTTCCTCTTTATGATGCGCCAAATGTTTTCTATGGGTGAAAGATCTGGACTGCAGGCTGGCCATTTCAGTACCCGGATCCTTCTACGCAGCCATGATGTTGTAATTGATGCAGTATGTGGTCTAGCATTGTCATGTTGGAAAATGCAAGGTCTTCCCTAAAAGAGACGACGTCTGGATGGGAGCATATGTTGTTCTAGAAATGGATATACCTTTCAGCATTGATGGTGCCTTTCCAGATGTGTAAGCTGCCCATGCCACACGCACTCATGCAACCCCATACCATCAGAGATGCAGGCTTCTGAACGGAGCGCTGATAACAACTTGGGTTGTCCTTGTCCTCTTTAGTCCGGATGACATGGCGTCCCAGTTTTCCAAAAAGAACTTCAAATTTTGATTCGTCTGACCACAGAACAGTTTTCCACTTTGCCACAGTCCATTTTAAATGAGCCTTGGCCCAGAGAAAACACCTGCGCTTCTGGATCATATTTAGATATGGCTTATGTGTAAGCTGCCCATGCCACACGCACTCATGCAACCCCATACCATCAGAGATGCAGGCTTCTGAACTGAGCGCTGATAACAACTTGGGTTGTCCTTGTCCTCTTTAGTCCGGATGACATGGTGTCCCAGTTTTCCAAAAAGAACTTCAAATTTTGATTCGTCTGACCACAGAACAGTTTTCCACTTTGCCACAGTCCATTTTAAATGAGCCTTGGCCCAGAGAAAATGCCTGCGCTTCTGGATCATGTTTAGATATGGCTTCTTTTTTGACCTATAGAGTTTTAGCCGGCAACGGCGAATGGCACGGTGGATTGTGTTCACCGACAATGTTTTCTGGAAGTATTCCTGAGCCCATGTTGTGATTTCCATTACAGTAGCATTCCTGTATGTGATGCAGTGCCGTCTAAGGGCCCGAAGATCACGGGCATTCAGTATGGTTTTCCGGCCTTGACCCTTACGCACAGAGATTGTTCCAGATTCTCTGAATCTTTGGATGATATTATGCACTGTAGATGATGATAACTTCAAACTCTTTGCTATTTTTCTCTGAGAAACTCCTTTCTGATATTGCTCCACTATTTTTCGCCGCAGCATTGGGGGAATTGGTGATCCTCTGCCCATCTTGACTTCTGAGAGACACTGCCACTCTGAGAGGCTCTTTTTATACCCAATCATGTTGCCAATTGACCTAATAAGTTGCAAATTGGTCCTCCAGCTGTTCCTTATATGTACATTTAACTTTTCCGGCCTCTTATTGCTACCTGTCCCAACTTTTTTGGAATGTGTAGCTCTCATGAAATCCAAAATGAGCCAATATTTGGCATGACATTTCAAAATGTCTCACTTTCAACATTTTTGTGAATTAAAATTATGCAATCCAAAAGCCATGGAGAAAGCAAGAGGATGTTGAAGTAAAGCGAATCCGACAAACAAGAAAGGGAAACAGAAAAGGTCAAAACACCAACATTTATTTCTGAATGACTTATTAAATATATATAAGGAGGTCCAAGCATTATTGAATACTCAAAGCAAAAGTTCAATTTAAGCATTTGGCACATTCTTTTATTCAAAGTGACCAAGAGTGCATTGCACTTATAACTGCATTTCAATTAATGCCAAATTCAAATGTTTTCAGTGTGTATATCAGTTCTTTTTGAACGTTTTCATCTCATTTTAACAAAACCTTGATAATATTGATAATCGTGATAACTTTGGTCACTATAATCGTGATATGAAATGTTCATACCGTTACATCCCTAGTTACAGTTTTTTAATAAATGTAGAAACCCACAAAAACACAGGTAGTTCTAGCAAGGTTCTGAGTTCCTTGCCAAAAGGAAGAGAGATGTGTGACGAGGGAAGCCCCTCATGACAAACCTTCTTCTTGGGGTGCAGCCAGCCAGGGGCCCTGTGACCACGGATGGCGTGACCCAAATACGGCAAGTGCAAACAGATCTCCCAACAGAAACAGCTCACCAGATGAGAGAACAAAGCCATGAGAAGGCCTCAATAGCAAGACATTCTGATGTTGTTTTATAACCCATCTGCATAAAATAAATTTATTACTACTGTATAGTCAACTAGTCAATCTGTTTCTGCCAAATTAGCAGGAAAGAATACTTCATGGCATACATAGTAATAAATACTTTACAAAAACCAAATATATTAAAATATTTGTTTTCATGAGCTATTCCAATATCACACTGGAATGACAATACTACATTAAATTTAATTATAATAACATTAACCTGACTCTCATTGATTTATATGAGATGTGATTTTACTCATTTAACTAGGCAGGACAAACCTTTGTTTATCTAGGTATGATAACTAAAAATTGTTTTATTCACCTTTTATTTCAGCATTTTAACTGGCTCATTTCGCATTAAAAAAACAATTAATTCTAACTGTCATTTCAGTTAGTATCAGGACCGGTGAATTTTCTCAATTCACTCACCATTAAATCTGAACCCTGAATACACACTTATGTTATAGTAAGTTTGACAATTAACTTCTCAAATACAATATTATGACCAGTGGTCGACCGATATTTGGCATTTTTAAAATATCTTGCAAAAAAAAAGCTTGCAAACTTAAGTCGGATCCAGTTGTGAGATCTTGTAAAGTGTGCATTTGTATCCTGAATGATCGCGTGTTCTCTGCGTAACGGTCGATCCGTGTGAATTGAATGCTGACAGGTGGAGAGTTCAGCTTCACTGGAGATGCGCGATTGACAAACTTTAAACTCGTGATTTCAAATTATCCTGCGCTTTATGCATTTGCCCACTGCCATATTCATGTCATTTCCACTGTGTGCTGTATGTAAAATTAGTGTTACTTTGGCTTTATTTGAAAAAATATGATTCCCAAATCCCAGTGCACACAAACTTCCCAGAATACTGAGTTCCCTGTTGGTTACAGTATTTACTAACTTTTTTATTATATTCTTTATTAAATATTTATTTATGAAAAATACTTTGTCATCTAAAGTATAAGTATGTTTAACACATTTACTTTCTAATCAATTTTCAAATGATTTCAAACTTCTTAAACATTAATTAAAATAAATACAATTATATCGGCCACCCTGCTTTCCAAGATATCGGCATCGGTTGTCAAAAAAATAATATCGGTCGACCACTAATTATGACATAACTGACTGCTCACAATAGCGAATATCCTCTAAGACTTATCTGTTCAGTAGCTCAGATCATGTGTCTGATGCAGCAGCTTCACCACATTTTGAGCATTTTATTGTTGGTTTCCAATTCATGACACTAAGCGTTTGGTCAAAATTACACTAAACATAGTGAGATGCCTTGCTTCCAATGCTCACGTCTGTCAGAAAATCCTAAATGCAGTGTCCTGAGGCCAGAACAAAGCATCCATGCACACTTACATGCAATCACCACCTGCTTAATTCTACTGTTATGCATAAAGAGACTCCAGAGAGCTTCATGCTAAGGCCATATTTAAACTACAGATTTAAACTACCTCTTTTTCCTCACACAATCACATCACCTCACACACAGCACTGCAACTGCACCTAAATTCTCAAAGTGATGTCAAGAGATTATCACAAGGTGGGTTAGTTAGCAGGACCGCATGTGACATCTCACCAATGATATTGCGATACATACACTGAACATGTACTGCATATTTATGGTAATATTACTGGCAATATAAAATTACAAGTTACATTTGGGCATTATTAGGTTAGTTTGAGAGAATTGAAACAGTAATAAATTGTAGTATTTTTGTTACTGATAAACGAGAGATAGCATTAGAACATCTGTGAATCATTTTGATTAATACGTTTTAAATGAGTCAGCGACTAAAGTTCACAGATCATTTCATACCATTTCAGAGCAAAATCACAAATAATGCTAGTAAATACTGCCAAAAAAACAGAAAAATATCAAGATATAATTGTTTTAACTTTACAGCCCGGCCCTAAATGAGACTGAGAAACTATTCAGTGAATACAAATCTCAAGTGAGCACTGAATCACCACAATAAACAGAGCTTAATGTTGTCGCTGGGAGTGCACATTTAGGAATGGGGGTGGGGGGCTAAAGAGGATGAGAATTCAGCGTTGTAAGGCTGGTTTATTTCAACTAACATTCTCTGACGAATCACATGTAACGCATCAGAATGAAATATGTTAAGCTACACACTGTAGCTTTAATACTTCCATCCAGAGAAAACCTGCAAATGAACGGTGAATATGCAAATACACCTGTAACTACGATAGACCTCACATTTATTGTGAACTTACCTTTCTCAGTTCTACCGTCACTTCATTACGATGTCTTCGCATCGTCTGAAAAGGAATGAAAGAAATAGATTAACTTTGTAAAGTACAACATATCTAATGTATAAATAGTGAGGGGGGAAAAAAATCAAAGAAAACTCCTAAAATGTAATGTTGTATGAGGAAATGGTGCCCATGCATTGGCAGAGTATGGTTTTGTTACTGCTTGAAGTTTAATACTTTGGTTTAGCTGTTTGTTCAAATCCACAAGTGATTCGTTCACACACTGCTAAGGTGACACCCTATTATACTGAATGGACTGTAACACGATTTAAACAAAATGCAACATTAATGGAAACTAAAGTCTGGCCACTCCAGCAGAACAAAGAGGCAACCAACCGTGGTAACCATGGTGACGGCAGAACCCAGCTGTCACTCACTCCTCCATTTAGACAATCACATTTTGTGGCCATTCTATTAGAACTGTTGCTTGAAAACCAACAGAACACACATCTGCATCAGACATGTCTGGAGCAACAAAACACATTAAAGCCATCCTTTTTTCTCACTTCTACATTGTGATATACATCCAAGTGTAACAGATTATCAAAAGCGTAAGGTATGGGACTTGGTATGGATGGTTCTGAGTATCAGTTGTTGGTTGGATATTGAGATGTGGCCGCTGCCCTCAAAAGTAGATGCAGATGAACGTGAGCTTGCAGGGTTAGAGATTAAGCAAACAAAATAATAGGTTTATTCATTTTTATTGCCATACCAGCATCTATGGCTATTGGCATTGCAAGATTCATTTATTTTAAAAGAAACAAATAGTAGTGACTAAATGATCGGAGAAGCCCTGCATACGTCATGAGAGGAGTGTTTCATTTTCACTGGAAGGTCCAGTTATGACAATATGTTTAAACATTACAAAGTCAAATTTACAAAGCCATGAGAAGGCCTCAATAGCAAGACATTCTGATGTTGTTTTATAACCCATCTGCATAAAATAAATTTATTACTACTGTATAGTCAACTAGTCAATCTGTTTCTGCCAAATTAGCAGGAAAGAATACTTCATGGCATACATAGTAATAAATACTTTACAAAAACCAAATATATTAAAATATTTGTTTTCATGAGCTATTCCAATATCACACTGGAATGACAATACTACATTAAATTTAATTATAATAACATTAACCTGACTCTCATTGATTTATATGAGATGTGATTTTACTCATTTAACTAGGCAGGACAAACCTTTGTTTATCTAGGTATGATAACTAAAAATTGTTTTATTCACCTTTTATTTCAGCATTTTAACTGGCTCATTTCGCATTAAAAAAACAATTAATTCTAACTGTCATTTCAGTTAGTATCAGGACCGGTGAATTTTCTCAATTCACTCACCATTAAATCTGAACCCTGAATACACACTTATGTTATAGTAAGTTTGACAATTAACTTCTCAAATACAATATTATGACCAGTGGTCGACCGATATTTGGCATTTTTAAAATATCTTGCAAAAAAAAAGCTTGCAAACTTAAGTCGGATCCAGTTGTGAGATCTTGTAAAGTGTGCATTTGTATCCTGAATGATCGCGTGTTCTCTGCGTAACGGTCGATCCGTGTGAATTGAATGCTGACAGGTGGAGAGTTCAGCTTCACTGGAGATGCGCGATTGACAAACTTTAAACTCGTGATTTCAAATTATCCTGCGCTTTATGCATTTGCCCACTGCCATATTCATGTCATTTCCACTGTGTGCTGTATGTAAAATTAGTGTTACTTTGGCTTTATTTGAAAAAATATGATTCCCAAATCCCAGTGCACACAAACTTCCCAGAATACTGAGTTCCCTGTTGGTTACAGTATTTACTAACTTTTTTATTATATTCTTTATTAAATATTTATTTATGAAAAATACTTTGTCATCTAAAGTATAAGTATGTTTAACACATTTACTTTCTAATCAATTTTCAAATGATTTCAAACTTCTTAAACATTAATTAAAATAAATACAATTATATCGGCCACCCTGCTTTCCAAGATATCGGCATCGGTTGTCAAAAAAATAATATCGGTCGACCACTAATTATGACATAACTGACTGCTCACAATAGCGAATATCCTCTAAGACTTATCTGTTCAGTAGCTCAGATCATGTGTCTGATGCAGCAGCTTCACCACATTTTGAGCATTTTATTGTTGGTTTCCAATTCATGACACTAAGCGTTTGGTCAAAATTACACTAAACATAGTGAGATGCCTTGCTTCCAATGCTCACGTCTGTCAGAAAATCCTAAATGCAGTGTCCTGAGGCCAGAACAAAGCATCCATGCACACTTACATGCAATCACCACCTGCTTAATTCTACTGTTATGCATAAAGAGACTCCAGAGAGCTTCATGCTAAGGCCATATTTAAACTACAGATTTAAACTACCTCTTTTTCCTCACACAATCACATCACCTCACACACAGCACTGCAACTGCACCTAAATTCTCAAAGTGATGTCAAGAGATTATCACAAGGTGGGTTAGTTAGCAGGACCGCATGTGACATCTCACCAATGATATTGCGATACATACACTGAACATGTACTGCATATTTATGGTAATATTACTGGCAATATAAAATTACAAGTTACATTTGGGCATTATTAGGTTAGTTTGAGAGAATTGAAACAGTAATAAATTGTAGTATTTTTGTTACTGATAAACGAGAGATAGCATTAGAACATCTGTGAATCATTTTGATTAATACGTTTTAAATGAGTCAGCGACTAAAGTTCACAGATCATTTCATACCATTTCAGAGCAAAATCACAAATAATGCTAGTAAATACTGCCAAAAAAACAGAAAAATATCAAGATATAATTGTTTTAACTTTACAGCCCGGCCCTAAATGAGACTGAGAAACTATTCAGTGAATACAAATCTCAAGTGAGCACTGAATCACCACAATAAACAGAGCTTAATGTTGTCGCTGGGAGTGCACATTTAGGAATGGGGGTGGGGGGCTAAAGAGGATGAGAATTCAGCGTTGTAAGGCTGGTTTATTTCAACTAACATTCTCTGACGAATCACATGTAACGCATCAGAATGAAATATGTTAAGCTACACACTGTAGCTTTAATACTTCCATCCAGAGAAAACCTGCAAATGAACGGTGAATATGCAAATACACCTGTAACTACGATAGACCTCACATTTATTGTGAACTTACCTTTCTCAGTTCTACCGTCACTTCATTACGATGTCTTCGCATCGTCTGAAAAGGAATGAAAGAAATAGATTAACTTTGTAAAGTACAACATATCTAATGTATAAATAGTGAGGGGGGAAAAAAATCAAAGAAAACTCCTAAAATGTAATGTTGTATGAGGAAATGGTGCCCATGCATTGGCAGAGTATGGTTTTGTTACTGCTTGAAGTTTAATACTTTGGTTTAGCTGTTTGTTCAAATCCACAAGTGATTCGTTCACACACTGCTAAGGTGACACCCTATTATACTGAATGGACTGTAACACGATTTAAACAAAATGCAACATTAATGGAAACTAAAGTCTGGCCACTCCAGCAGAACAAAGAGGCAACCAACCGTGGTAACCATGGTGACGGCAGAACCCAGCTGTCACTCACTCCTCCATTTAGACAATCACATTTTGTGGCCATTCTATTAGAACTGTTGCTTGAAAACCAACAGAACACACATCTGCATCAGACATGTCTGGAGCAACAAAACACATTAAAGCCATCCTTTTTTCTCACTTCTACATTGTGATATACATCCAAGTGTAACAGATTATCAAAAGCGTAAGGTATGGGACTTGGTATGGATGGTTCTGAGTATCAGTTGTTGGTTGGATATTGAGATGTGGCCGCTGCCCTCAAAAGTAGATGCAGATGAACGTGAGCTTGCAGGGTTAGAGATTAAGCAAACAAAATAATAGGTTTATTCATTTTTATTGCCATACCAGCATCTATGGCTATTGGCATTGCAAGATTCATTTATTTTAAAAGAAACAAATAGTAGTGACTAAATGATCGGAGAAGCCCTGCATACGTCATGAGAGGAGTGTTTCATTTTCACTGGAAGGTCCAGTTATGACAATATGTTTAAACATTACAAAGTCAAATTTACATGTTCAAATCCACAAGTGATTCGTTCACACACTGCTAAGGTGACACCCTATTATACTGAATGGACTGTAACACGATTTAAACAAAATGCAACATTAATGGAAACTAAAGTCTGGCCACTCCAGCAGAACAAAGAGGCAACCAACCGTGGTAACCATGGTGACGGCAGAACCCAGCTGTCACTCACTCCTCCATTTAGACAATCACATTTTGTGGCCATTCTATTAGAACTGTTGCTTGAAAACCAACAGAACACACATCTGCATCAGACATGTCTGGAGCAACAAAACACATTAAAGCCATCCTTTTTTCTCACTTCTACATTGTGATATACATCCAAGTGTAACAGATTATCAAAAGCGTAAGGTATGGGACTTGGTATGGATGGTTCTGAGTATCAGTTGTTGGTTGGATATTGAGATGTGGCCGCTGCCCTCAAAAGTAGATGCAGATGAACGTGAGCTTGCAGGGTTAGAGATTAAGCAAACAAAATAATAGGTTTATTCATTTTTATTGCCATACCAGCATCTATGGCTATTGGCATTGCAAGATTCATTTATTTTAAAAGAAACAAATAGTAGTGACTAAATGATCGGAGAAGCCCTGCATACGTCATGAGAGGAGTGTTTCATTTTCACTGGAAGGTCCAGTTATGACAATATGTTTAAACATTACAAAGTCAAATTTACAAAAATACACAGGGTGTTTTCATTTTATGCCGATTTTACACTATGGCAAAAATGGACAGACCACCCATCACAAGTGGTTTTGCACCCTAACTTAAAATAATTTTTCAAATAAACAAAAAACAATAATAAAATAATAATACAGTTCCAATGGAACATAGTAGGAAAAAGAAAAAACATCAGCAGCTAACGATGTAAAGACTGCACTTGCTGTGTGGTGGGGATGGTGGAACGGATCAGATTTGATCTTGTGACTGGGCATCCTAGTTCATGTTACAGCAAACCCACACTGTGCCTTATGCAATCCAAAAGCCATGGAGAAAGCAAGAGGATGTTGAAGCAAAACGAATCCGACAGACAAAAAAGGGAAACAGGAAAGGTCAAAACACCAACATTTATTTCTGAATGACTTATTAAATATATATAAGGAGGTCCAAGCATTATTGAATACTCAAAGCAAAAGTTCAATTTAAGCATTTGGCACATTCTTTTATTCAAAGTGACCAAGAGTGCATTGCACTTATAACTGCATTTCAATTAATGCCAAATTCAAACTTGTTTCACCTGCACAAGCACTATGGCTCAAAGTTGAACTAAAACTAGGTCACAACTCGGCCCATTTCAGGAAACCAAATAAAAGCAAGAAATTCTCAGCACAAAGCAGATTCCTGGAGTCTCAACATGTACGGTATTTTAGCGGCGCATGCGATATGTATGAGTCACAACAGAATGACAGGAGGGCAGAGCCGAGAGGAAGCACTCCAGTAGTCAGCGGACCGTTGCTTTGTCGGTGACATGACAGCTTGGCACTCTAGAGACCAGCATAATTACACAGTAAGTGTGCATGTGATTGTCTTGTTGCCAGCGTGGTCTGAGGACATGCTGTCTCACTGCTGTATGGTCCACGACATACTAATAAATCGGCTAACCGTGTAATAGCCACAAACATCAGGCTTGCTTGACGATCTTTTTAGACCAAGCAGCTTGCAACACATGTGTTCTAAGTCACTTTTTAAAAAAGTGTAAATAATACACAAATTACCCACACATGATTTCACTTAAGCATTTGGAAAATGCAAAACCGCAGGATGTAGGCTTACTGAGGGAAGGACTTCAAGTAATTCAATTTAGCTGGGTTGACACAGACAACATCAATTTTAATTCATAATCTTCATTTTAATGATCTCGATAATGAGTCTGAAGACTGTGTTTAACGTTAATGCATAAACAAATCTTTACTACAACATTATGTTTAGCACATCTGTAATTCAATAATCACAATAAGCATGGAGTTTTCTTAGTTTTGAAGTCTCAGCTTTCAGATTTAGTTCCTTTTATTTGCCAAATTCAAACAATAAGTGTTATAGCCACCTCAGTTCAAGAGGCAGTGAACGTCAACGATCATCTCTTCTTTGCTACTATTAGCTATAGCACTAAATAAATACGAATAAAAGAAACTTACTGAAATGTTTTGTCTCTTCAATGTTTCAACCACGTAAAGACATCAATATAAGCTTGTAAACAATGTCATAAAAAATAACCCAGAGAGGACCATTTCAATAAATATATGCACTGTATTACAAATCAATCAAATCAAGAGCTCATGATTGTGAATCAAATTGTGAAATGTCAACACTCAGCCCTATAATCTGATCACAAATGTTTTTTGAATATTGTGCAAATTTGAACATGAACTCTGTGATCTTCGTATAAAGAGAGTATATGAGACATGGCAGACTAATCAAACGCCTTTGTTTCTTTTTCCAAAGGCACTTAGCAAATGCAAAACACAGACAGAAGCACTTGTTACTCTTTCGGTTAGCTACGATTACATCCTTGTTATGGGCTAAATCTAGCAGCTAACGAGTCAAAGTATCCCACAGTTCGTTGCTGACCACATCAAATAGGTCAGCTGAGCCACTGTGCACGAGCCCGTCACTCTTATAGGAACACAAGATGAGAAATCTGAATCTGGTTTGCAAATTCTGGGAATAGCTGCAGAAGGGCGACAGCTTTGCCGGCCTCATCCAAAGCCATGTGTCTGACGGCTGAGTCACACCAGCACCCTACAGTCGCAGTCAATTCACACCGTTAATCCTGAAGGAGGCCACTGGGGTTACACGCATGAGCCCACAGCAGAAGATAATAATGATGTCTAGTATCAAGTCCAACAGGGTATGAGAGTAAATGAGTTCATTATAAATGTGATCGCAGCACCTTAACGTTCATACTACTCATTTGAAAGTGACTTTGAACAGAACACTCATGGTGGTCCTCTGGGTTAGACGTGACGTTTGATGAGATAGCTGCTATGTTTCAACTTAACTGCCTGTGTTTTGGTATAGATATAAATTTTATTTGTATAGCCCTTTTTACAATACACATTTTTTCACAGCAGCAACAGAATATCATGATGTTTATAATATTTGAATGCATTATAGTCATACTTAGAAGACTATAGAAGGGCAATAATACATGATTTGTGTGATATAAACAATCAAGCAGTTGAGATTTACTATATAGTACATTGTTTTACGCGAGTATGCATGCAGGTAAAGCTGCATATACTTATATACACCAACTTCATATATAGAGTTGGGGAATAATATAGTTTACATTTTGCAGCGTTATAAACAGACAAGCAGTTGACATTCACTATATAGTGCTTTACATGATTGTACTTTATGTAAAGAGATAAAGTTGGATGTACTATACAGGCAACTGTAAATATAATGCTGCCGATATTATAGTTTATATTTAAACTAAATTTATAGTTTCAAATTTAAAAAAATTCACTATGCATGTATGTGGATAAATCTGTGTATATGTATATATATATATATATATATATATATATATATATATATATATATATACACATACACACAACTTTATATTGCTGGGAGATAATATAGTTAATTTTGAGACAGCTGATGAGATTTGCTACATAGTATACTGCTTACATGAGTGGACTGTGTGTATGCGGGTAAAGTTTGTTATAGTAGCTGTAGGTAGGACTAGGAGTTATTCATTTATTTTGTGGCGATATTAACGACCCTCTGCAGGTCTTCATTCCAGTCTGAAGGCAATAAAATCTGATTTATTTAACTCTGGTGTACCTACAGGTGATGCTTAGATGCTAACTGCCACACCGAAGGACGATCTGATTGAAGAGGAAAAGATGTGAAGCAGTAGTCTTTTCACAACGACATCTTTATTAAAACACCACAATCAGCTCTAATCAATGAACAGGTCTATTAAAATCAACTCCAGCAGGCTTGCTAACCTGGCGTGACTAAACGAGCAATAAAGAGGTCAGTTGTTGAGGTATGACTGGTCATCATTAGTTCAGTTCTGGAGAGATTGCTAAAGCCGGTTTAACACACCCGTCTCTGTCGCATATATCTGGTTCGCAAGTTATATTCCCTATTACGTGACAATGCTTAGGGTGTTTATCTTCTATACATGAATGTTAAGAGTATAAGTACAAAAAAACACGAATAAACGGGCTGCTGGGCGATTAATCTGCCGCCTGCTAACCAGTTAGCCGCTAGCCCACATGCTAACACGATAAATCTGCATGTTTTTGGCCCAGCGTACTTTAAAATGAAAAAATAACAGCCGAGCCACCAAACCGACCTTATAGACGAACCAATTTTTATATTACACGACTAAATAATGCGCTATAACAACTCAAGCCCGTGTATAAGCCGCGATGAGCTGGTGAATGTTGAAGGCAAATGTGTGTTTAAAGAGGCCTCTATCTAGGCCGCGCCCGCTCCGCATGATGCTCTTGCTGGATCCACAAACACCCGCTCCGATCCGACACCATAAAACCAGAACCACAGACACTCAGGAGGAGGAAACCGAAATGTAAAAAAGCCCAGAGTCCAAAGTCTCTGGCGGGCTTACCTCCACATCTCGGCCCTTGTTTTTAAAGCTCTTGATGCGATGGTTTTCCAAGCCGGCGTTTTCGGCCATGGCTCTGTGTGAATGTGTGTGTCTGTAGTCCCGACCGACGCGCGGAGCTCCGCTCAGGGAGGAAGCGGGGGAAGCGGAGGGCGGGGAGTGTAGCGATGTCCGATTCGTGATTGAATCGTTCATTTGATTCGGATCTTTTTAATGAACCGGTTCACAAGTCAATAACTCTCCGACTCATTGAACCTTCATTTTCGTAAATATATTGAACTGGTCTGGAAGAGGAAATGTTTATGACCTGATTTTATGGCAGTTTTATCAACACGCACAGGAGCGTTTTCTTTTATTTGTTTTATATAGTTATTTTAGTGTTCTTTCTATTAAAACACAAAAAACAGCCGAGTGACTTTTAGTTTTGATTTTTGTATATGCAAATCATACTTCTAAATTACTTTGTGCATTTTTCAGCTGAATCATACATGCAACAAAGTGAACGAGATACATTAAATTGCTTATTAATACTTCTGAACAGTCAACTGTGATAAAACATGCATTTACGTATTGATTTTTTTGAACTTTTTTAGACAGGTAATATGCCACTGATGAATGTTAGAGACCGTGATGAGTTAAAAATTGCTGGATCCTTTTTTGATCTGTGCATCTTGGGAAAGATCCGCTCACCATGGGGGGGTGGGTGGGGGGGTGTAGATGATGATCTATGTACGTAGAACCGGGGTGGTGCGGAGCAGACGGGACAGACTCCTGTATGGTAACTGTAATATTATCTTTTTGACAATTAACAGGTCTTGTGTGGATGCATACTACAGTTTTACGCCACTTCATTATGGGGTTATAGCACAGACTGTAAAGGATCATGATAAAAGGAGCAGTGAAACATTACTGGAGTTAAGGCGAGGTGTTTCATTGGACCCGACCCGTACAGCTGATTTGCGTCATTGTGCGTAGACTAGAGATTGCGCAAGTTTGCTCATCTGACATGATGTGTACGCCAGTAACGTACGTAAAAATACGTAACCGCGCACAGTGCGCTCTAGACAGGCCAGTGAGATAGATGATAGTCGTTAAGCAGAAATTCACATTTTAATAACAACAGGAACATGTTTAAGTCTTATATTAGGGTAAGGTAAATACAAAGTCTTTATGAACAAATGACAAAAGCTAAATCTTCATTACTAAAAGACACAAGACAACCAAGACCTGTCATCTCAGAACTACAAAAATAACATCACATTCAATATTCACTTATTTATTAAAAACAGTTTTGTGATCAGTTGCAACAATTCATAATTAGAGAAGAAAGACAATCAGATATTTTTACCTGGGTGAAATTATTAAATATTTAAGGTCAATAACCTTTACACTTCTTATCCTCTTGAATGTCTCACGTTTTCTTAATATATTAGTCACACTAAATGCTGTGCAGAAACTGCAATAATGAGAAGACAATGTTATCAACAGCAACATAATATGGAAAATACAACCAAATATGAACTCCATGAAATTTAAATATATGTGTTTTTGTAGAGCTTGTATAAAACCAAGTCATTATGATGTATATGGTGTGTGCAGCTGCAGGTCATACATCAGACAGACAACAATGAAATCAGACAAACAATAACAATAAAAAGAGCTTTGACAGTATTTTGAGTCAATATCAGCATTTCAGGTCAGCATCACTTAGTTCTCTTGAAATGCATAAAGTATAAAGTCATGATTGTCAGCTGTAATATGTGACTCCATTATTACCCGTTTTTGTATTCAAACCAGCCTTAAAGCAAAAATCCATGGCCTGGTTTCACAGACAGAGCATAGATTAAGCCAGGATTAGGCCATAGTTCAGTTAGGACATTTAAGTATCTTTTATAAACGTGTCTTAGAAAAAACATTCCTGGTGCGCATCTTGAGACAAATCACAGTACTAATAGTACATATTTTATGATACGTCAGTGCAAGTTTATTACAGTTGAAACAGAACAGACATGCATTTTGGTCTGGGATTAGGCTTAAGCCTTGTCTGTGAAACCGGGGGCATATGTTCACAAAAGTACACTGTTAATACTGTACATCAGTAAATGTACAGTGTTTGATGAAGCGTAAATTAAAGATTGTATGTTCTGAGTATGTTTTGAGATCAGTGCACAGATCGATTACTGGGCAGATGATATAACACAGAGTTCATCTGAAAAACATAGGATGACTTTTTAAACTAAGTTCTAATGGCCAGATATGTGACAGTTTTACACGAGTCAAAATCACAGATGACATTACTTCAACTCTTTTCAGTAGACTGAGCCACACAATCTTTAGAAGTCAGTCATAAACACAGCACTTCAAATCCCGGCTGTGGAGTAGCACATGAACTTTAGAAGATCTGTTGCTCAAAAAGAATCTTCTGGTAGCCTTGCGGAGGAGGATGGTAGAAGTCACTGAACTGGCAATCCAGTATTGCACTATCATCAACTGTGAGGGACAAGACGAAGGCATACGAGTTCAGATGTGTTATTTAACAATAAATTCTATTTAATAACGCAAGAATTACGAAAAGTTACCAAAAGACTTGTTTTAGCTCATTCTTAGGCAACTCAGTTTGGGAGATTATTTAAGAAAAAAAGGTTGTCATCTATTTGAACACTTTATATAAACAAAAACAAACTCAACCCTTTTATAGTGTTTACAAAAAAAAATTCCCTAAAATTGAATTAATCAAAAAAAAAAAAGAGCTGTAGTATAATTCAGATGATGGTGCAAGGTTATGTCTTAAATGTTTAAAATATATATTTTACAGCAGAATAAGAAAGAGATATACAGACAAATTCCTGCAAGAAATTTGCTGTAGGCCTCTTGGTCGCCTCTCTGAGCGGTTCCCTCTTGGCTCTTTGATCCAGTTTGGAGAGACGTCCTGATCCAGGGAGGGTCTGTGTTGTACCAAATACCTTCCACTTCTTAATAATAGACTTCACTGTGCTTCTAGGCATTGATAAAGCGTTTTAATTTTTTTTGTATCCATCTCCTGACTTGTCACCTATAGTTGATTGTTTGCTTCAGTTGTTGCACTACCAAGGACTGAAATGCTCCAGGAAAGCTCTTTTTACGCTAAGCTAATCAAAATGTCCACAGCTGATCACAGTTGAATTGATTGAGTTTACAAATCATTTTTAAGGGGGGGTGGGGGGTGATCCTCTTTCCAACTCTGTGATTCTGTTTTCTTATTTTTTTTCTGACATGCTGTTGGTGTTATATCTTTCACTTGGATGTTATAAGTTGCACTGAGTAAACACAGCTGGATAAAACAAAAACTGTGTCCATCTTTTGATAAAGCGTTTTAATTTTTTTTGTATCCATCTCCTGACTTGTCACCTATAGTTGATTTTTTGCTTCAGTTGTTGCACTACCAAGGACTGAAATGCTCCAGGAAAGCTCTTTTCACGCTAAGCTAATCAAAATGTCCACAGCTGATCACAGTTGAATTGATTGAGTTTACAAATCATTTTTAAGGGGGGGTGGGGGGTGATCCTCTTTCCAACGCTGTGATTCTGTTTTCTTATTTTTTTTCTGACATGCTGTTGGTGTTATATCTTTCACTTGGATGTTATAAGTTGCACTGAGTAAACACAGCTGGATAAAACAAAAACTGTGTCCATCTTCATTTCAGCTTTTTTTTGTTGAAGAAGGACAGCCTAGTTTATCAAACTGTCAGACTCGAGATCTTTTCCATGAATATAATATGTCTGAAATGTCAGATCTCAGCACTTACCCATATGATGAGTGTCCAGCTGAACCGTGGGCATTTCCTTCAGTGTTACGTGGTCCCTGTTATTGTCTCCACAACAGCCAAAACAGCATGAAACCAAAGCCGCCATAATAGTACTTCTTTCCCAATTATACCCTTACAGTTAAATATTGTGGTTAAGCTCTATTTAGTTGTTATACGAGGTTATTTGTGCTACAAATCATGAGAGGTCATTTTTTTCATTCTCCCTACACGCTGACAGGATATGATGTGTGAAGGTTCTTCTTCTTCAACGTTTAATGGCGGTTGGCAAACCAGCGTTAGCTGCATAGTCCTCCACCTACTGATGGAGTGTGAGACATTGATATCAGGAGAGAGAGAAAAACTATCTTCATATATTCTGTTATATAACATTATTGCTTTCAAAAAGAAAAGAGCTTTATAACCTTGATAAGAACCGTTTAGTACATTCTGCAAAGTTAAAGAGTGTATGGCAACAGATATTAAATCGTCCTTTAATTGTAGTCCTTGTCTTTCATACTCCATGCAATTGATCAGCACATGCTCTGCGGTTTCTGGGAGTCCACATTTATAACACTGACCAGAATCATGTTTCTCTGTCATATTAAGTGATTTGTTGAGGGCAAAATGATCAGTTCTCAGACGAGATATTACTGTATCTTCCTTTCTGTTACCATAACTAACTCTAACTAAACCAACTTGTTTTGTATATTATACAAATGCTGTCCTTTATTTCCTTTGTCCCACCTCTACTGCCACATATTTTTAATAGCTGTTTTGGCGTGAAAAGTTTTTTTCTTTCACTTTAAAGGGGTCATATGATGCGATTTCAAGTTTTCCTTTCTCTTTGGAGTGTTACAAGCTGATTGTGCATAGATAAGATCCCTGAAGGTGCAAAGACTAAAGTCACAAAACCAAAGAGATATTCTTTATCAAAGTTAAGACTCTGCCACACCAATAGCAGGAAATATGCAATATTAGCATAATGCCGCCCAAATGTGCACGCAAAGAAAGAAGGCGTGGTTTCAGTAACCGCAGTTAGTGTTGAAGCAGCATGTCAGGGAGACTCTGTGTGTTTCAGTGCGAAAGCAAAAGCACTTTATTTGGCCTTCCGGAAGTAGATGCATCTGACTTTGCTATGACAATCCGGCGCTTCTGACTATTTTGTTATTAGTTTAAGTATTTGCTATTGACTGTTCAAATGCAGAGTTTTGCGCATCGTGTGTGTGTGTGTGTGAGTGAGAGAGAGAGAGAGAGACAGGGTCACATAATTTTTGAAAGATGAAGCTCGCGATTATGGTAAGGGGCGTTACATTTCTGACGAGTGCTTGCGGTGTTCGGCCAATCACAATGCACT